TTTGACTTTGCCATCTGTGACCTGGGAATGCTTATTAAGGTCAATTGCTTTATAAACCATGGTTGCCATGAGAACAAATGAATGAATGATTTTTGTTGTTATGTACCATCAAGTCGTTTGCGACTCATAGCGGCCCCTATGTACAAGAGCTCTAAATGCTGTTCTATCCTGTGCCAACCTAGCCATCGCAAATGCACTTATTCCCACCGCTCCAGTCACAGAATCGATCCATCTCATCGAAGGTCTTCCTCTCCTTCACCGCCCCTCCACTCTCCCAAACATGATGTCACTCTCCAAGGACCAATCCCTCCTTGCAACATGCCCAAAGTATGTCAGATGAAGCTTCAGAATCCTTGACTCCAAGGAGCATTCTGGCTTCACCTTCTCCAGGACAAACCTGTTTGTTCTCCTAGCAGTCCATGGTATATTCAACACTCTTCTCCAGCACCACAACTCAAAGGCATCAATTCTCTTTCTATCAACCCTATTCACTGTCCAACTCTCTGATGCATAGCACGTAATTGCGAAGACTATAGCCTGGATCAGGTGCACCTTAGTCTCCAGCCTGACATCGTTGCTCTTTGGTACTCTTTTTTTTTAATGGTTATTTGGTACTCTTGAGAGGTCCCTCACAGCCGACTTTTCCCAGTGCAATTCGTCTCTTGATTTCCTGGCTGCTGTTATCAAGAGTGTTCCCTGATTGTGGAGCCAAGCAAACTAATACTGTTAACTATCTCAGTCTCTTCACCATCCATACTAATGCTGCCAATTGGCCCAGTGATAAGAATCTTTGTTTTCTTGATGTTGAGCTTCAATCCATATAGGAGACTGCAGTCCTTGACCTTCTGCAGCAATTGCTTCAGGTCCTCCTCAGTTTCAGCAAGCAGGGTTGTGTCATCTGCATAATGCAGGTTGTTGATGACTCTTCCACCAATCCTGATACCACATTCCTCTTTGTACAGCCCAGCATCTCAGATGATCTGTTCTGCATACAAGTTGAAAAGGTATGCAAACAGAATACATCACTGATGGACCCCCTTCTTGATTTTGAACCATGTAGTGTCTCCTTGCTCTGTTCTGATGACTGCCTCTTGGTCCAAGTATAGATTTCGCATTAGCACAATCAAATGTTCTGGGATTCCCATTCTTCTTAGAGTCAGCCACAGCTTGTTGTGATCCACACAGTCAAAAGCCAATAGTCAATGAAGCACAAGTAGACATTCTTCTGGTATTCTTTGCTTTCTGCCAAGATCCAGCTAACATTAGCTATAATATCCCTAGTACCTTGACCTCTTCTAAACCCAGGCTGTACATTTAGCAATTCTCTGTTGACATATTGTTCCAAACGTTTTTGGATAATTTTCAGCAGAATCTTGCTTGCATGTGATATTAATGATATTGTTTGATAATTTCTGCACTCTTTTGGGTCACCTTCTTTGGAATGGGAACAACTTGGCACAACTTAGTGAGCACATCCAGGGCAGTGTCTGTTTGTTGAAATATGTCAATTGGTATGCCGTCAACTCCTGGAGCCTTGTTTTTTGTCAATAACTGGGCAATTGTCTTTCATCTGCTCTTTTCTGTGGAATGCTTGTCTGTCAGATACTATTATATATATTTAAAGATCAAGACAGACTAGGAAGAAGGATTAGCCATCCACTTCTGAAAAAACAGGCCTTTGAAAACCCTATGAATGCTTATAAAATTAATTCTATTTTTCATCTTCTTTGACCAAGTAGTTCCATATCTAGGAATGTATTCCTCCCAAATGCTCACCAAATTTTAGATAACATTGTTGATAATTGTTGTTATGTGCTGTCAAGTCAACTATGACTCATAGCTACCCTATGCACAATAGCTCTGAACCCTGCTCTGTCCTGAGCCAATCTCACTGTCTCTGACACACCTACACTCATTACCCCAGTTGTTGTGTCACTGAGTACCATCAAAATAAGCCCAGGTATTCCTCAAACAAAGGATAGGTCTATAAGTTGATGAACACTTTAGGGTTATTAGAAATCCTTATAAGTAGAAAACAAACACTGTATAAAGTCATAGAAAAAATGTGGATTATTTGTATCAATAGACCCTCATGAAGTACTTTGCAGATAATATTCAATACTTGATTGTTGAATTACCTCAACTCCTTGAAAATTATATATATACATACAAGCTTGAGGGGAAAAAATTTTAAAATGTTGATAGGGGTTATTACTGGGTGATAGGATTTTGTGTAGTTTTATTTTTTTCTTTCTTCTTTGAGAAGTTAACAAAATAAATAATGTGCATATACTATGATTTTTCAATGAATTGAGTTATAAAAAAATTGATGTCTTGTTTTTCTTAAAAAATATTAAATAATATAAAAAAAGAAGTAAAGTCACTTCCGATTTCACCATCTATTAATATGTGGCCCAGTAGCCCTTGTCTAGCTCATTCTGCCCACACGTCTGTATTGATTGGCGTGTGTGTTTTTACATTAATGAGCTCATAGAATACAGATTGTCTTGTCGTCTTCCTTCCTTGTGATGTGTCGTGGATAACTTTCTTCATCAGTAAAGCCAGAACTGTAGCAATGTAAAGAACTAAAAAACATTTGTTTTCCCTGAAACTCGACCAAACATTGCTCTTGCTGCTTGTTGCACACAGCAAAGTTGCTTGACCTTTTTTTGCTCTTATTATAAATGTTGTTATGCTTTTGTAATAATAAAAAGGAAACAATAAAAAATTTCCCAGTGGTTTGAGGCAGGATAGCCCAGACAAAATCAGCCCCCTTTTTACAGAGGACCTATTTTAATGGGTTTTGTGATGAAGTATTTGAAGAAGGAGCAGATTGGGTCAAAGGACAAACAAGACCCAGAGGTGATTGTTACAGAGAAGAATGTTCAATTCAATTGAAAAAAAGACATTTTACATAGAAAAGAGTCTGACCCCTAATGAGAAGTTGACCTTGAAGCAACTGGGGTGGAGAAGTAACCCAGGCTGAGGCTCTTCTGAGGTCAACCCTGTGTTTCTAGGATGACTGGAATCTCTCAGAGAGAGCTTGTTAGAAAGGAGGTGAGGAGCAGGGAAGAAGTTTTCTCAGCTGCTTCCTAGGGTCAGGTGCCAGAAGCACTGGAGGGGCAGAGAGAGGAGCTGATGAATTATGGATCTGTCACCTTGGAGAAGCGACTCAATCTGGTAGAAAACACCTGGGCTCTAAGGTCGGATGGTGTTGGCTTCATATTCCTACGCTATTGTTTACCAGCTGGTGCCCTCAGTAAGGCACATAACCTCTGTGAGCCGTGGCAGCTCATCTTTGTGGCAGGCACAGTACGTCTGTTCAGTGTTGTGTGAAGATGTATGGCAAGCCCAGTGCCTACAGGGTGTGGGACAAACAGATAACTTATGCTACTGTTCCTAGTGGAAGCAACATTAGAATACCGTTAGGTCAAACATTTCTGAAATACATTTTAGATAGGGAACTTTGTTTTTTAAAGTAACTTGCACTTGGATTAGGCTTGTGGCTGTACTGGTAAACTTTGACTAATGTTGGTAAGTTGGAAGACTAGGCTGCAGGTGAATGGTGGTGGTGGTGGGGTGTGTGTGGAGAGAGAGACAGAGAGAGAGAGAAGGTTGTTGTAATGCACATAACAAACAGTGGAGAGAAGAGACACTATATGCTGGAATTGACAGCCAGGCATAGAGCTCGGCCAGGGAGATGCCTTTGTATGTGGCTCAGTGGCAGAATTTTCTAGAATGTTAAACATCTGACTTGTGGAGTGGAGGGAGCCAGCTCCCTGTGGAGAGAAATGGTCTGGCAGAGACTGAATGAACTTTGAGATGGTGTGGCTGGGATATGGGGCCAGATGGCTGCTAAAGTGAGGTCAGTGTTCAAGATGCCCCAGGGATGACTGAGGAGGAGCTGCAAGGGAACTCTGGAGGCATGGGGGTGTTCTGTGTGGCACTGCTAACCAGAGAGGAGCGGTTCAAATCCTCCAACTGCTTTGAGGGAGAAAGATGGTCAGCCTCTTCCTGTAAAGGTTTACAGCCTTGGAATCTTAGTAGAGGCTGATATTTGAGACTCCACAGCAGTGAGTGAAGTGATGGGAGGAGCAGATACAACCTTAGAGGGGAGAAGGAGGGAAGGGTCGGAGGACAGGAGTGGTGTGAGGGGAGTAACTCCCTTAGATTCAGGCCTTTGGCCCTGGTGCTGGAATCTGGATAGCAGGTTTGGTCCCTACTCCTTGGCCCTGCCTTGCTGCTTACCCTGGCAGGACTGGCCTCCCAGCAGCCTCCACCTGGACTCCTCTTCACTGTCTTCTTGTCTCTCTTCTGCTTGTTTCTCAACCCTTGTGTGGTCTGGCCTCACCTTCTCCAGCTCTGCATCTCCAGGGTCCCAAATCAGTTTATGTCCCCCCCCCTATCCGCCACAGGCAATCAAACCCCTCAGAATGCGCTCCTTCCCTGGAATGCCTGTCCCATTTAGCTTACTGTACAGATCTTCAGTATATTTTGGGGTTTATCTTGAGTTTCACTTCCTCATCCCCCTTAAATGGTATAGTCCCTCCCTGATCTCCCCTGCCTAGAAAGTGAGCAGCTCCCAGGAGCCAATATCACCCAGATGATGGCTTGGACAGCACAGGGCAGCCTTTGCAAGTTTTTCTACTTTCTTAACTATTTTACGCTTCGTGCCAGCCCTGTGAAGTAGACACAGTGGGTTCCACCTGAACAGCACCTCTAATGGACTAGATACCAAACTCTTTCGGGCAGAAGCCACATTTCTCCTGGTGACAAGCCCTATACCCTGTGCATAGGGTTGACCATTTGCTGCAAAGAGGTGCTGGCAGAGTAGGGCTTTGACCCTGACTCAGGGGTGACCATTAGTGGCTGGGAAGCTTCTAGCTCTATTGGTGAAATGACAGGTGAGAGCCAGGTGGAAAGGAATCCTGAAGCTGAGTCCCTGGTCTTTAGGTCACCTTGGCCATCTCACTTCTTCCTTGTCTCCTTTCCTCCATCAGGGAACTCAACGGCAACAACATCACTCGGATCCATAAGAATGACTTTTCGGGGCTCAAGCAGCTGCGAGTGCTGTGAGTATTAGACTGTGCCTGCGCTTATTCCCTCTTTCCTGTTCCCATCTCCTTGTGGTCCTGGGCTGGGGGGTGGAATGCTGGCTTGGCTGCTCCTTTGTGGAGTCAGTCTTTGGGCATCCTGAGGGATGTGGGGTAGGGTGATGGTGAGGCTTGATTCAGGGGCCCACTGGCTGTCTCCTGATGGCACGAGAAACCCAGGTGGCCACTAAGAGTCTCTGAGTCTCTATATTCTTTTGCACTGAGACTTCAGGAAGACTCCTCAATAAAGTCAGAGTCCCATGACTTGGGACACAGGTGTGTGGGGCCCTTGACAACACAAGTGCCTGCCTGACAATGCAGACATTAGGGCTCACAGGTATAGCTCTCTTGGACTTGACCGAGTGGCAGCAAAGCCAGCACAGGAGCCCCCAGCAGCACTTGCAGGAAGTAGAGAAAGGAGGAGACAGATACGCTCGCTTCCTCCCTGTTGTCATTCCTGCTTTGTTAATCACAAGGTGCAGAGCAGTTGCCATCCGTGCGTTCTGGTGCAGGAGCAGTTGAACCCAGAAACTCAGGCGCACAGGGAGGGATCAATCACATTTCTTTATTTTATTTGCATCAGCTCAGCTCTGACTCTGATCCCTTGGCCCACTTAGCTGGCAGGAAGTTCAACACTGCATTAATGAGCCCCTCATCGTACTGCTGGGTTGTGCCTCAGTTCTTTCAGAACCACTGGCTTTGCAGCTTTGGCTTTTTGGAGGAGCTGGAGACATTATGGCTAGTCCTATGTAAGATTAATGCTGCCAAGCCACTAAACATGGGTCTCTGCTAGTCCATGTGTCAACTGCTGACTCCTTCCAAGGACGAGCTCTTCAGGGTCTGGGAGAACTTCTGCCTCCTGATGTTTCCCTTACCCTCTTCTCTTAGTTCTCCAGCAGTTCCCTTAACAGCCCAGGCTTTTGGAAGCAAAAAGGAAGAAAAGTGTCTTGTTGCAGCTGATAGTTCCTGCTCTGTCTAGACCTTGTCCATGCATGTGCTTGAGTGGGAGAGTGGAAGAGGAAAACATATTTGACACTCTGAAAAGAAAAGCGTTTGAGTTATTGTGGAAGAAAAACTCTGTCTCAGCAGTTCTGTGAGCTGTGCTTCAGGGGACTATGACTGTGAGGAGACAGTCTCATAGAGCCAGGTGGTTGAGCTGGTATGGCACCCCACTTGTTTCTGTGGCAGATGGGCCCAGGCAGAGTGGGGGTGCAGGCAGAAGGGGTACTGTCTGCCAATTGCAGGGTGTATTTGCTGCGTGCTTGGGCTCTGTGCAGTTGGTGCCAACTTCCTTCCCTCACTACTGGCCAATGGCCCCCTTGGATATGAGCCCTTTGGGGCTTTGGTGCCAACAGCCCCGAGTCAGCCTGTGGTGCGTGGTGCCGAAGTCTGGATGTGGGCCTCCCTGAGCATGCCATTGAAGCCACCGCCCGGTACTCTGGTTCCCCGTGGCCTTGTGCCTGGCATGTGACTTTGGGGGAGAGACATAGTGGGAGCATCAGGCCTGGGGGAGCATTTTGTTGTTAAGGGTTTTGTGGTGGGGAATTGTCAGGAAGTGCCTTCTTGGGCTGGGACTCAGGAGTCTGTCTGAGTCCTCACGTTCCTTCTGTTCCAGCTGTCGCCAACATGGCTCCTGGAATCAACTGCCAGCTTTTCGAGGGTCCAGTGTCCTGTAATCCTCCTATCTTGTTCCCACAGGCAGCTGATGGAGAACCAGATCGGAGTGGTGGAGCGGGGAGCTTTTGATGACCTGAAGGAACTAGAGAGGCTGTGAGTATCTGTGCGGCATAGACTAGGGTGCAGCTGGCACTGAGAGGATGTTGGGCCTGAAGCTGCTGGCAGGAATGAGGGGATTGGGGCTTGTGGAGACGTCTCTCCTGCGTCAGGCAGAATCTCTGACAAGGAATGAAGGGCGGGTGCAGAGCCCCTGATGGGAATGAGGGCTGTGTACAGAGGAAACTCTTCTCCTGTGTTGAGCTAGAGCTTTTGACAGAAATGAAGGGCGTGCACCTTCAAGCCACTCCCGTGTCGAGGCAGAGGCCCTGACAGGAATGGAGGGTGTGTGTGGAATCCTTTCCTGTGTTTTCTGCATTTCTTACAATGAGTCTGTAATGACAATTAAAGCCGCCATAGATTACCTTCCTCTATGCCAGGCATCAAGATAAGCTCTCAGCCCCACAGTAGCTCTCTTAATCCTTAAAACAACACTGTGGTGAGTGGTAATTTGCAGATGAGACATGGAGACTCACAGAGGTTAAGTCACTTGCCCACCACCGTGCAGGGATTACTTGGCAGAGGGGTTAGAGCTCAGATCATTTTACCTCCAGAATGTAAACTCTGAATGACAACGGTAGATCTCACTTTGCATTTTTATCTAAAAAGAAAAGAAGATAGGAAATAAAGAGGGAACATGATGGTCGTCTGGCCTCCCGTCTGCTGTCTGCAGGAAAATCAAGGCCGTCTTTTTGGCTCTGAGATGGAGCAGTAAGGACTTCAAAACTAGAATAGATATTTAGTCCTGAATTGGTTTTCTTTAAAGTACCTTAGAACAAAAATGCATATTAATGCATTGGCTGTGCGTGGTTGATTTGGACTTAATCCATGCCAGGTCCCACTCTGGTACTGCCAGGTCCTGGAAGAAAAGAAAAAATGGGCAGGGGGCAGGGGTGTGGGCACATACGGTGGTGCCATGTCAGTTGTTACCATCCAGGGCTTGGCAGAATCCTCTTTTTGAGTCACAGCTTTGTCACCACTAAGTATTTGGATTAGGGTTCTTGGCTGCTAACCAAAAGACCGGAAGTTCAAATCCATCTAGAGGCAGTTCAGAAAGAAGACTGGGTGATCTACTTGAGGGGAAAAAAAAACCCCAAAACCCAGCCATAGAAAACTCAAAGGACCACACTCTCTGAAATCATATTGGGTTAACCTGAGTCCAAGTTGACCCCACAGCAACAGGGGTTTTTGTTGCAGTGTTGTTAAACACTGTCCTTTCCCCCCCAATTCTCTTCTTCAGGAGTGGACCAACAACAACTTCACACTGGTGTGTGACTACTCTCCACCTGTGATTGTGTGTTGTGAACAGTGTGACACCTTAATGAGAGTCGGTCCATGGTCGTGCTCCCATCTGGTCTACTAGAGACCACTGGTGGATCAAGGCATACCATAAAATGCCTTATTCAAGTCAAAGCATGTAGATGTGCATTTATTGCCTTCCACCTTGTTCTCCTCTAAAACTTCCAAGTGTGTAACACTGGAGTTCTGTGTCATTTGCCTCATCTAACCCACACATACTCACTTTGGCTTTGATTTCTTTAAAGAAATCAAATGAGATTTTGTAAAGATTTTTGTAAAGCAATCAGGGAAGAGAATTCTGGATTTTTTTTAGGATCTTCTCTCCCTCCTCAGAAGTTCATTAATTAACACTTTTGCTTTATTGAATCTTTACAAAGACTTAATCAGACCTATTTTTCATGGACAATTCATTCTCTTCATACTAGTATTTCCTTCATTTATATAATGTTGTTCTTAGGTGCTGTCAAGATGATGACCCTTTGGACGACTGAATGAAACTTTGTGCTATCTCACACTGTCCTCACGATATCTGCTGCGCTCATGGTTACAGTCACTGTGTCAACTCATCTCATTGAAGGTCTTTCTCTCTTTTGCTGGCTCTCTACTTTTCCAAGCACAATGTCCTTTCCCAAGGACTGACATCTCCTGACAACATCCCCAAAGCATGTGATAGGAAGTTTCACCATCTTTGTCTCTAAGGAGCATCCTGGTCGCCCTTTCTTCAACACAAATTTCTGTTCCTTTGGTAGTCCATAGTATATTCATTTCTCTTTATTAGTGCTACAACTCAAAGGCAATAATTAAAGAGTTAGTAATTATAATAATTAACTAAAATATATGGTTCTAAGTACCCTTGGTATAAACAGGGACAGACATAACTGGTTTTTATAAGCACAACACGAGTGTAGAAGGAGAAGAAAGGTCCTACTTGGTGTGAGATGGCCGTGAAGGATCAGTGTGTGCTGGGCTCCAGCCTGTTTGGAGCGAGTGGAATGGGCTGGTTGAGCAGAGGTCAGTGTGTAGCTGTGGAGACAGCCGGGATGTATGGGAAAGCAGACTTCAGAATTCCACCTCTACTATTTGATGGCTGAGTGATGGCTTGGGCAAGTCACTCACCTCTTGGCCTCCCAATTCCCTAATCCACGAAGGAGGATAACTCAACAGCATCAACAAACATGCTGAGCGACACACTCGATAGTGGGATGATGGTGTTAAGACCTTCCTGTGGAGCTGTTGCAGAGAAGAGATGGGCAGACATGTGCATGTGTGTATTTTTGTTATTCTTTTAACTGCCATTGAGTCAGAACCGACTCATAACTGACCCTCCAGTGAGTTTTCAGAGGTTGCAAATTGCATGGAAGATTGCCCATCTTTTCTTCTGTAGAGCATCTGGTGGGTTCAAAGTGTGTACTTTTGGGTGGGCCGTGTTCTTACCACTAGACCATCAGAACAAAGGAAGCCCATGCTTTCATTCCACTTTCCTCTGCTGGTGACATAATGTCCATAAAATGTTGATGGCTGTGCCTGGCACAAGCTAGGTGCATTTACTGTTGTTGTTGTTATGTGCCGTCAAGTTGCTTGCGACTCACAGCTACCCTATGTACTACAGCCCTAGACTCTGCTCTGTTCTGTGCCAGTCGCACTGTCTCTGACATTCTCATCCTGATTACTCCAGTCACTGAATCAATCCACCTCATAGAGGGCCTTCCTCTCCTGCGCTGTCCCTCCACCCTCCCAAGCGTGATATCCTTCTCCAAGGACTGGTCTCTCCTTACAACATGTCCAAAGTATGTTAGACGGAGCCTCAGAATCCTTGCCTCCAAGGAGCCACCCAGTTTAACCCTTTCCAGGATGAATCTGTTTGTTTTCCTAGCAGTCCATGGTACTCTCAATACTCTTCTCCAGCACCACAGCTCAAAGGCATCAATTCTCCTTCTATCCTTCTTGGTCATTGTCCAACTCTCTGATGCATAACAAGTGATAGCAAAGACCATGGCCTGTATCAGATGCACCTTGGTCTCCAGAGAGACACCATTACACTTCAGTACTTTGGAGAGGTCCCTAACAGCAGACTTTCCCATGGCAATACGCCTTTTAATTTCCTGGCTACTGGTGCCAAAAGTGTTAACTGTGGAGCCAAGCAAACTAAAGTTGTGAACAATCTCAATCTCTTCACCATCCATCCTGATTCTGCCAATTGGCCCAGTGGTGAGAATCTTTGTCTTCTTGACATTCAACCTCAATCTATATAGAAGGCTGCAGTACTTGATCCTCTCCAGTAAGTTCTTCAGGTCCTCCTCAGTTTCAGCAAGCAGGGTTGTGTCATCTGCATAATGAAGATTGTTGATAGATCTTCCACCAATCTTGACCCCATGTTTCTCCTCATAGAGCCCAGCCTCCCGGATGATCTGTTCTGCATACAGGTTGAAAAGGTATGGAGATAGGACGCATCCCTGGCCTACGTCCTTCCCAATTTTGAACCATGCAGTGTTCCCTTGCTCTGTTCTGAGGACTGCCTCCTGGTTCAAGTATAGGTTTTGCATTAGAAGATCAAGTTTTCTGGGATTCCCATTCTTCTCAGAGTCAGCCACAGTTTGTTATGATCCACACAGTCAAACGCCTTGTAGTTTGTTATGATCCACACAGTGAAACGCCTTTGCATAATCAATGAAACACAGATATACATTCCTCTGGTATTCTCTGCTTTCAGCTAAGATCCATCTAACATCAGCTATAATATCCCTAGTACCGGACCCCTTCTAAACCCAGCCCGGACTTCTGGCAGTTCTCTGCTGATGTGCTGTTCTAGTCGTTTTCGGATAATCTTCAATAGAATCTTGCTTGCATGTGAAATCAATGAGATTGTTTTATAGTTTCCGTACTCTGTTGGGTCACCTTTCTTTGGGATGGGAACAAATATAGATCTCTTCCAGTCAGTTGGCCAAGTGGTTGTTCTCCAGATTTCTTGACACAACTTGGTGAGCACGTCCAGGGCAGCATCTGTTAACTGAAATATGTCAATTGGTATTCCATCTATTCCTGGGGCCTTATTTTTTGCTATTTCCTTCAAAGCAGCCTGAACTTCTTCTTTCATTACCATAGGCTCTTGCTCATATGTTGTTTCAGGAAATGCTTCTGTGTCTGCCAATTCCTTTCAATACAGTGATGACTTACTAGCCACTATTATTTGTTGTTATTTTGAGTTTCCTGATCATGCTGGTCCCTCCTTTGAAGTTCGTGTTTGTTTTTTTTCTCTTCACTTTAAATTTGTCATCAAGTCTCTTTTCTTCCTAAATGTTTATCATAAATTAAAGCCAGAAAAATGAGAAAGTTGTGGTGAAGAAAAACAAAACAAAAACCAGTTTTTGCCAGGCAATGTAAATACAGGATTAATTTACTGGATCAAGGTTAAGAGACATGTAACAATCTGATGTCAGCTTTTATTGCTTTAAGGATTATGTTGGTGGTCTCTTTTTTCCCCCAAGTCAATGATGTGTTTCCCTAGGAGGCTGCCCTGTACAGTGAACTTCTTCCAGCTGGTCTTCTAAAATTGAAGCTCTAATTGTCCCATGCTGGGACATGCTGATCTCCAGTGTGGTGACACTGACCTCACATATGGGATGTCAGTACAAGCCAATTCTTCTGACCACATTGAAATGAATTTCTTCTCTCTCTTTTACCCAAAAAAAGAGCTTTTG